TGCCTTCTGCTTCATCAGTGATGATTTTTTGCAACGTTCTGAGGATAAGTGTAAAAGGTGGAAAGGCATAAAAGAAATTTGACTTCCAAGAAACAGTGAAAGCATCAACTGGCTATAGAATCTGGATCTTTGTACCACGAAATATAATTGTTGCATTTTGCATTTATCTTTGTTGTAAATAAGTCTATGTCTGGACACCCCAGTTTTTTGACAATACATTTAAAAGCAAAATCTGCTGGTTCCCATTATTGCTCTACTCTCCCACCCTATCTATTATTGCTAACGGAATTCTCCTCGGAAGTCGAACAACTGGTATCGCGCCTGGTTCCACGTGAAGTTTACATTTTTTTTGAAATTTTCCTGTACCTGTAAAAATATCTTTATTAACACTGACAATTTTTTTTAATTCATTTACAGTTTTTACGCTATCAACTCTATTGATCAATCAAAATTTTTTACAAGTTTTTAACCCTAACAAAGGAGTAGTTTTATTTCAGCTTACAACTACAACATTTTCCATTAACTCCTTATCCTTTATTTTACAATTTCTATTTATATTACCTAAAGGTTTTAAGTTTGAACCTCCTTAAGCTTCTAATAATATATTAGTTTTATTTAATTTTGTATTCAGTTTCAAACTTTCAAAATTCTTAACAGGTAGTATATTTACTTCACACCCTGTATCTATTTTAAATTTTATAATTTTATCATTAAAACTTACATTTTCATACCAAGTTATACTATTTACCGATTTGTTTACATTTACGCAATCAATTTGTAAGAAGTTATCCTCTTCTTCTTCTTCTTCTGGTTTTTCTTTAACAATATCTTTCACCAGTTTCACTCGGCAGGCTATCTTGAAGTGGTTGAGTTTTCCACATCGCAGGTACTTCTTACCATAAGCTGGATATTCTCGCACTTTATGTGTTGTTTGGCACCTTGTACACTTAAATGACTTGTTTTCTCCATTCGTAACTTCATTTTTTACACTTTGGTTAACTTTTTTTCTTAATTGCATCTACTTCTATTTCAGCTGCACTCTTCATGGTTTTTAACTGACCTTTCATTGTTTCATACGTTCTGCACCTTTCTACTGCTTGTTCTAATGTCAAAGACTCGATACTTATAAGTTTTTCTTGCAGCTTCTTTTCATAAATGCCAAATACTAGTCTATCTCTTATCATTTCTTCTTTGTCTTTAAATTCACAACTCTTCACTAGCTTCTTTATAGCATTAACAAAATTATCTATTGGTTCTTTGTCTTCCTGATTTCTCGAGTAAAATAAAAATCTTTCATACATTATATTCTTCTTCAGCATCATATATTTTTCAAATTCTTCTAACACTTTTTGAAAATCTTTCTTTTCTTCCTCAAACAGTTTGAAATTAGATATTAAATACATCTACACACACTCCTCGCCAATAATGTTTAAGAGAACGGCTACTTTTTNCAAAGGGATAAAAAACACTGATCAAAATATTTATTATAAAAATAAAAAAACAAAAATAAAACATTTTTTTTTTAATTTAAAATGTAATTTCTTCATTGCACACAACTGTTGCTCCATGTCCACCATCAGCTTCATGTAAATTGCGGCTCATTAGAAAACTAGTAGGTTGAAACTCATAAAATTTTTTTCCATCCAGTAAAAATGTTCTGCGTAACAAGGGCAAGTAAAATGGCAAATTGTGCTCCGTAAGAAACATGACCATTTTTATTTCATCTTCCTTTATTTCACGTTTTAGTTTTTTCCTTCTGGATTTGTGGTTAAAAAATTTGAAATTTTGCAGGAAGAACTCACTACTTGCATTTTTAATAATAATAATAAATAATAATAATGATTTATTTTCCATTAAGACAGTATACATGTATAGGATTCGTCACACACTTAATCTAACATAAAAAAAAATTAAAAACTTCAATTTAAAAATTTAAAAATTCCGACACACTAAAAATATTTATCTAGCAAATATAACTTTAACTTTCGTTTAAAAACAGTTACAGACAAACAGTGTTTAACGTCGTTTGGTAAACGATTAAAACATTTTGGACCCAAGCAACAAGGAGCATTCAGGGCTAGTTTTAGTTTGGCAAACGGCACTCTAAGATCACCAGCATGTCTCGTGTTATAGTTACACTTATCTTTGTTAATGTCAATGCTGTTCTTATTTCTATATACATAAACACATAATTCGTATATAAACAAACAGNGATTCACTAAGAATCGGAACAAGGGATTTTGCCAAATCGCTTTCATCTACCAACACCATAGTTATGGCCTTACCTAGTGCCGTTATTCCTGCACCCAACTGAGATTGCATAATCACCTGATATTTCGTCGCCTCAGAACCAGACTAGTCTAAGTCCATTTGTTAAAACTTTACAGGAGGAGGTTTTCTAATTTTGAAAACTTCAGGACTGTATGCTCATTTCACTTTTTGTCTAACTGTATGTTTTTTTTTTACTTATTTTGACAGTTTACTGTTGGATAGTAAACAGCTTAATTGTTAATTTTTTTGACAATATCAAAAATTGTAAAATTAAAAAAATGTAATTGGGACATAGAAAAAATTGAACTTTATATAATAAACGAAGTAGATGCTTACCTTATTCTATGTCCAGAACTCTTTCATATTTTGAAAAATAAGCAACAATACCATGTCTACTGAAATATACTTTAATTCTGAATAATGCTATAAGATACTACAATCAGAACATTGAAGAACTTTAACCGATATAAACAATAGAAAATAATAAAAAATGTTTAGAAATTTGGAATTACGGCCTTCCAAAATTGCAAATCTACTGCAGAAAAGTGATTTGATAAGCATCTGATGTGTTCTATTTTGTCTTCGGGCAGGCAGGCTGGTAGCGGCTGTACTGCAGGGCAAGGGATGTCTTCTAAAAGCTTCTGGGGGAGATCATTCTTCCTGTGTTGTTTCAAAATCGATGTAGTGTGGTTCAATTGCATTGAAAGTTAGCTTATATTTCACCAAGTTTGAGTTATTTTCATAAGAAATCTGCACTAAACTTTTATATGAAATGTTAGAAAGAGAAATACGTTGCGACAATGCTTTAAAGTCCAAGAAATAATTTTTTTGCATTTGAACAAGTTTATAAGGCTTCCTGCTTCTGGTATTTTTCATAGCTCTGAAAATTGCAAGTGTGTTATGCAGTTCCAATTTACTTAAACTTCGATCCAAGTCGCTATGCATCGCGTCGACTTCCTGCACACAACTATGCCCAGGTACTTGAAATTTTTGAACGATGGATTTCATTTGAGGATGCGTCTTCAGAAAATATAATAAAGCTGCAGACATGTGGGAATTTTTATTCTGTGGCACACGCGCATCCGACCACAAAATGAATTTGGTAACTTGCACTTGCAATATCTGCGCCTTTTCTTCCGCCCATAAGCTCATGCCATACAACACAGAAACCGTTCTTCTTTCCTACTTCATATCCTGTCAAATTGTATACTGCATACTTCTTGTAGTACGCTTTTGAAATTTGGGTTTATGGGCATGTAAGTACACTTTGCATATCAAAACATATGAGAGCTGCAGTCTCATCATCTTTACAGGCTTGTACATCCGTTTTCTTCTCATCTCTAGCTTTCTGTTTGGCTTCTATGTGTAGTCTGTACTTCTGCTGTAAGTTATCATTCAGATTTTCACCTTCCCGTTTTGCTTCATATTCTGAACAAATTTCAGACAAATCCTTCTTTGTTTTGTGGAAACCAATGTTAAACTCATAGTTGCCATTTTTTTTCGGCAGTGAAATTATTTTCTTTACAATATTCGACGTTTAGTTCGTACATTTTAGCCAGAGATAATGTCTCTAAATATTCTTTTGAAGAACTACTTCTACAGTAATGCGAAGGAAGACGAGGGAACATATTAATATGATCTTTAATACTTTGTCTTTTTTGTTCATTAATCCGCTGCTTTGTATCTGAACCTCTTTTATCACTTTGAGGAGTTCCTGTTAGTTCGAGATTCTTATCTGGCTAATGCTTAAGACACCTAAATAAAATCGCTTACAAACACGTATTTTGTTGCTGTTTTTTTCGAAAAAGTATTTGAAAGAGTAAAAGAGTAGGTCTTTGTTCTCTGACGCAAATTTCTGTTCCTTTTGCGCTCGACAAAAAATCTTTCAGTTGTTTTGTCATAAAAATAGGCCTTTTCGCTGTTACTATTACTCCAAAAGTCTTTATGAATTAGCTCTACATCTTCCAGACTAAAATTGTCAAGGCATTTAAAGCGACAATTTAAACAGTTTCTCACAGGAATCTTTCCCACAACAGTATCACCACGGCAGTTTTCATATTCGTGGCCACTTTGTCTTAATTTTTTTCTTATGTTTTTCTTCCATTTTGCAGGATCGCCCTTCCGTTTCCTTGTTTTTTTAGACGAGGTACCAGTTGTGCTAAAATATTAAGCTTTCGTGTTTGTTTCAGTGTTAATTAAAAATCAAAATACCTTTTTGCTGCATTTTCTGTATTTCCTGGACTATCTGTGGCAACGCCCTCATTTTGAATGTCGATTTAATTTTCTGCACTGCCATCATTTTGCGACTCAACGACGAGATCAGAAGAAATATCATCTACATCGTAACTAAAACAATTAATTGAAAACAAACATGCATTCTAACCTATAGAACTTTTACAAACGTAACTCACTCATTTGGTGTTTCGCCGATTATCGAGGGCTGATATTCTGACCCGGAGTCCTCAAAGGGGTCGGCAAGCGACTCTTCAGATTCACTCATATTATCCGCAATTTTTCACTGCTTGAATCGTAAAAAAATTGGTCCCAACACACCAGCACAAACAAGGTGACTGGTCGAACTGTTATGATCAAAATATTTGTTCTAGTTTATTCTACGTCCTCACGTGACGCTTATTGTGAAGGTTCTGATTGGGCGCTCGGACTTAGACTAATACGGTTCGAACATTAACAAGGTTGAATGGACATAGAATAAAACAGGCACCTCTTATTTACAAAACCAATTGACGTTTGAGAACATGGAATATACTGGCGGATAGCGTTAAGGACATGGAATAATTTGGCATAAAAATGTTATTTTCAGAAAAAAGTGGACAAAGAATAGGCTGGTTCTGAGGCGACGATTTATATTTCTTTAAGGATATATCGGAAACGGCTTGGGCTATTTCTGGATTTAATGTAGGCGTTTGCAACCCGCCACAGTTGCTTGGGACTGGATATTTCGCCAGCAGTTCTAATTTATTATCTTTTGATATACCTTTTGTCAGCATATGCTGCCATCTAGGAGACAATGCCTTGTGCAGCTCCACTTTTTCGGTCTTGGCGTTCTCAGGGTCTTCTCCCAAGCATTTCAACACTTCTTCATCCAAACCCGGTTCATGTACCACCAATATACTATTATTAATATTTGGTGAGGGGGCATTTTCCTGCTCAATACTTCTGGCAGATATTACAGAAGGGGTAAAACCTTCCGAGCCATCTTGTAATGTTAAAGAAGGGGTAAAACCTTCTTGGCCAAAGGATGTCGAGTCTCTGGGACTTCGAACCGGTGTTGAGCTACTTGGCATTTGCCTTGAATTTCGATCACCCCTTGAATTTAAGCTTCCTCTGTCGTAATGTTTTGACCTTTTCGACGTTGGGGATTCGGGTGATCTGGATTCACTATGGCGTCTAAAGCGTCGTTCCAACGCTTTTAGCATTTTTTCCAATTGAAGGGTTTTTTCACGACTAGTCTAATTATCACAAACGCGACGTGATCTTCTAGCACACAAAAAGCGTAATAAAGATAGTTACAGCACGGAGTATTAGTAATACAGAACGGAACAGCAATGGTAGCGTTCCTTTCTATAAAATGTGTGATCAACTAGCACCTAAAGCGGTACTACATAGTTTATCAAAGTTATCTTGAGGGTGAGGCGCCGTCGTATAATTTACAGGTCGCACCACTACTTCACACATTGACTGCTTAGTCAAAACTGATTAACATACGAAGCTAGTATTACAGACACGTGACTGCGACGTAATTCTTAATATCGGCGAAAGATGGCAACAACGAAATGTTTATCCTAAATAAAGTTATTTAAAAGTGTCCACTGTGCCCCTATGACCATTGTGCCCCGGTGTCCCCTACTCATTAAAATCTATAGCGCCCTCTAGTAGAGGAAAGGCTGAAAGAAATAACTAATTACATGTGGGGACTCGGGGACTAAATTGCCTTGGGGGGTACTAGAGGACTAACTGAGACTTAAAAGTACTAAAACTAGTCCCAAAGGACTGATTTGAATAACACTGCTAACATGCAAAAATTACACGATTAAACGAACTTACCTGTGATGTTCAATCGTGATTATATGAAGCGCCTCGTCCAAAGAGATCACTAAGTGGTAATGCTTGCATTCAGGGTTCTGATCACACATATTTAAAGAAAATATTTTCTATTCCCTTATTCTTATTCCATGTTCCTTCCGTACCTAACTTCATTTAGTTCAAAGTTGTAGGGAAAAATATCTTTCAAAATTTGGGTAAAATATTTTCTAACTATGGGTCGTGGTGGGAGGTGATCTCTTTGGACGAGGCGCTTCATATAGGGGCCGTTCGAGTTGACGCTCCGAACGTTCAGGGCACGCTCTAAATGACTTTAGGCGTTTTTTTTAAGCTCGGAGTGGTACCCATTTGTGTTCGAAACGGTTCAGAGCGTGAATTCCGAGCGCGCTCGCTTTTCTCGGTGCTTTGGGGTCGAGCTTATAGGTCGAGCGCGGGGAGTCAATTAAAACATAACCAATATAACCTGAAAAACGCACAAACGACTAGTTTAAACAACTAAGATCGTTGGTATAGATAAAATATAGTTCCCTTTAAATATGAATAACGAAATAGCGATACATTTATTAGATCCTGAAACAAATATTACGTATAATTGTATGGTATCTCCTGAAGATGCGGTAAGAGCAGAAGTAGGTAAGCTAAAATGAATGCTTGAGATTACAACAGTTAAAATTTATTTCATTTTAAGATATGGAATTTGCACAAAAGGTTACTACAGCACGTAATTAGTAAGTAGCTACTTAAATGTGTACACAATATTCATTTTACTATTTATAGGTGAACAAGAGATACAGGATATTACAGAAACAGAAAATACACCTGCCGATATTACTGACACTTACTTTTCGTTGGGCACCACAACACGTCTTATTGTCAATAAGACTTGTAGAAAGTCATGAAGAAATGTTAAATTCAGGCTTAAAGAAAAAAGTTTGGATCAAAATTGCTACAGAGCTAACAAAAACTACGGGAAAATAAATAACACCAGATCAGGTTGACAACAAATGGAAAGGTTTAAAAAAAACGTATAAAAAAAATTAAGGATCATAACAATACTAGCGGAAGTAATAGAAAAAATTGGGAATTCTTGAATGCCATGGATGGTTTACTGGCTAAAAAACCAGAGATTAGCCCAGTTGCTGTATGTAGTAGTTCAAGTGGATTAACTATTTTAAAAGAGGCTTCAAGTAATAGTAAGTAGATTGATACATTTAAACCCAAATATATAGTTTTTAGTATTAAGTTCACATAATGTCGTGTAGTCACCATTGTGTTTGTTTTAGATGACGATGAATTTAACCTGGAACCTAATGAACAACCATCGACATCTAAATGTATATCAAATGTCATGAAAAAGAGACATAGAGTTGAAAATTTAGTACAAAAACGACATAACGAAAAGATAGCAAGATATGACCAGTTTTTAAATATATTTAAAATTTCTGTGGAACATTAAATTGGTAAAAAAATTGATGATTAATGTACGGTTGGCGCCATCCAAATGTGAACGCATTTTGGTTGTTATGGAAATTTCATCTGGATTTTATCGTAGTAAATCAGACTTTTTTTAGTGGCGTAACACAGAGAGGGTATTCTTATGGATAAATTCGACCAAGGCATTGTCTTCCGCGTCACTGGAAACCTTCCCGACACCTTGCCTGATAGATCTTTGTAATTATTGTTCTCGCCAGCGTTGTTTAATATAAAATATACAACTCTTACTGACATTTAAATCAGCAGCCACTTCACTCAAAGACCAATTATCTTCTAATTTAGCTATAGCCCTTGCTCTAAGTGACATATATGTATATTTGACAACTATTGAATTTTACGACTATGATTTGAAGTTTAAATTACACGGTACAATATTGCCGTTCACATTTNTAGCTTTAGTCTCGTTATGAATGGATTTAATTTTAAGAATATTTTTAACATGTAATTTCTACAACAGTATTAATTGTTGATAGCAATAGAAATATTAACGGCTCTTTAGGAAATCGGCATTAATTTATTGATCTAATATTGTTTACGTACCTGTCCGAGTTCCAGGATAAAAATCCGTCAATCGGTATCCAATTGGAGTGGATTCAGTTAATAATTTCTCTGCTAAAGTCATGTCGGCAGGTGTTACTACATCCGTGCATGGCATGTAGTCTATTGTTCGAATCATCTTCACGACCCCGACTATTAATAACACCACCAATTTTAATTTGTTCATCTCTAATTTTTTAACTTAAATCTGTCGACCATTGATTGAGACTGAGGTGTTGAATTGGCTGTATTTAATTTTATAAATGTTTTCATTGTCCCACTTGTTTAAACACCTTTTCAATAGGCACTCACTGGGTAGCTTATAAGAAAAACGGTAACAACGTAGAATACTTTGACAGTTTCGATCATTTGAAGCCACCAAAGGAACTGATCCGATACTTGGGAGTAGGTAACGTGAACATAATCTATAACGCTGATCGTTATCAAAATTATGATCAGATAAGTTGTGGACATTTATGCCTGCAGTTTCTCTATAAAAGCAACGATACCAGAAGAAATTTGTCAGTCATGTCTACAATAGTGGCGCTAAAGAGTCGTACATCCACTTTAACGTCCAACATTAACCCAATCATACGTTTAGACCCACAATTCAATTACGGCTTGGCTCTTATTCGTTTTCACTCGTACAACAGCATACCTAACATCGAAGCTCATCAAAGATTTATATTGTACAAGGACAACGATAAAACCGATAAAAACAAGCAAACCATTATAGAATTTATCGAGGGTGCCTACGAGATTCGGGACATTGAAAATTATATTAGAAAAGCACTAAAAATCGAGAAAGACCCCAACGTCGATCAGATATTTTCGCTAAAACCTAACAATAACACTCTAAAGTGTGAAATATACAGCGATAAATACGGGGTGGACTTTGAAACCGAAGGTAATATCGGTAGGACGTTGGGATTTTCAAACAAATTCCTAAAATCCAAGAACCTACACAAATCGGATTTACCTGTGGATATTATAAAAGTACACACCATCCACCTGGATTGTAACATTACTTCGGGAGCCTTCTACAACGGCAGACCATCACATACTATATACGAGTTTCCTGTACGCGTCGACCCAGGATTTTCCATCGCCGAAGAACCAAATCACCTCATCTATCTACCGATAAATAGAACTGAAATAAGCACGCTTACAATCAACGTGTTGGATCAGAATTTCGAACCCGTTAATTTCAGAGGTGAAGAAATCATCATTCGATTGGAGATTAAGAAACTTGAATAATGCTAGTTTTCGACAACTCTCAGTCAAATGTTCATATAAAGGAGCCGCTATCGAGATACACGTCAGTATCGTGAGGAGCATCTCACGATAAGGTTGCATTTACTAAGTCTCTGTCTCTAACGAACACCTTGTTACATACCAGATTTAAAATTTCCGGTGTTCTTCCACGATAAACCAAAATGAATGGTCGCGAGTAAGGTCTCGTTCGTTTCGATGACAAAAGGGAAAAGAAGCGAGAGAGTAGGTTGGTCACGGCTTATAATCACTCCGGTGCTACGCCATCTACGTTAAAGTGAGGCTGTTCTACGACACGGGTTGTTCGTCGAGTTAGCACGGGATAGGTCGGGAGTAATTAAGGAGTAAATATAGGTGTTAAATTAAAAGTGACGTTATACAGTGTGAATAAAATAAATGAAACGAAATTAATAAAAATTTCGTTACAATTTTCATTTGGATATTTCTCTTCTAAGATAGATAATATCATCTGTGGTTCCCACGTGAATCTGTATCGTCTAGCTGGTGGTCTTAATCGATATATTCCTTTCAAAAATCTTTTTATATTTGTACTACTTCCTATGTTGTCTTCTGTAATAAGATTTAAGGCAGATCTGTAAGTGTTAAATGTTCCAAACGTCACTTTTTTCTTTTGAAACATATCACTCAGGAATTTTATAATCTCGTTTTCCTTGGCTCTAAATCCATCTTGTCCTTGTCTTTTGCAGAACTCCCCCCAATGTTTATAAACCCCTTCATATTGCTTTATGGTTGATTTCGCTAGGGATTCTAGCATTATTTCTACCGTTTCTTCAGAATTTCCTCTTTGCAAAAACACATCCCGGATAACACTCCTGCCATTAGCATAGTATTTGTTGTTAATGTAGATCTGTAAGGTAAAATTAAACTATTACGAGGTAGAATTAGAGGAGGTTTTATTAGTAATTTTTTAAGCAATGGG